TCTATACTTTATCTTTTTTATTACTTCTATTTCTTACTAGATGTTGGCCGATCATGTGTTGGTGTCTGTAACGATTTATTCAATAATGGAGAAGCGTAAGGAATTGACGGGGAAAGTTGTTGCTTGATTGGTGTCGACCAAACAGGAGATTTATTTATATTTTCGGCTAAACCTGTTAAATCAACAGTACGTAAAGCCGCATAGATATTATCTTGTGATAAACGTGGTGTAGTATTGAATGTTCTTGTCACTACAATATAAAATCAGAAATCAATATTCGAATAAAAGTAAAACATTCCATACTGTCTAAATTCTCAAAGATATGTTTGTTTTTAAATTCATCCAAATCTTCTTTGATAATATCTTCTAAATATGCTATTAGCTTTTCACGAAAATCAGCATTTTGAATCTTTTGTTTCATATCAGCTGGTTTCATTTCATGATCAAGCCAAATAAGAAGATGCAAATGAAGCGAACCTCGTCCTTGACTTTCAACGGTACCAAAATAAGCTTTTATTGGTCCAAGAACACCACCACTAATCATAGTATTTAAGATATTTGAAATTAATAAATGAAAAAATTTTGCGGTAGCAACAGGATGAGAAGCTATAATTTCGGCTCTTTTGTAAGTAGTCATCAGTTGCGCTATTTGAATATTATCTAAATCCAACTTGACTCCCGCAAAATATAATGCCACGGGACTGTGAATATCAGCTGGATTTAAAGTTAAAAAAATGCTTGGTAACCCTTGATTATAGATTAATGCATGAATACGTGTACGTAATGCCGTACGTGAATATGCTGAACCCATAACTCGACCACCGATGGTTTTAATATGATGCAATAATTTATTTAATGCACTGTTGGATTCCGAACTGTATGTTTTTTTGGAAATGTTATCGAGCGCCATTTCAATATCTTTACTTTTCAAGGATTGAATTTCATCAGCAGATGCTCGAAAGTAAGGTTTTGTTGCGATCAGCTGAGCATGAAAACAAGCATCACGTCGTTGTAATAAATTGAAGACGACAAATATAAAACTGTGGTTCGTTTCAAAACGTCGATCATTGTACGATAACAGATAACGTATGTGTTCTCGTAAATTTACTTTAACTGGACGCGACTGATCTTCAAGTGCCCCACGTCCATAACAGAATAAAGTTGGATACAGACCTACGAGTAGTTTTGGATTAAAATATTCGTTAACAGGCTTCGAAGAATGAGGAATCAAATAAACATTTTCGATGTCCATCTGTTCCTTTGTTCCGTCATTTTTAATTTTGTGCAAAAGATAATTAGTAATTTCATCTGAAGACACTGATGAGCCGTTGACATCGAGAATACCACTAAAAAAGAAAAGATTTGTGAAACAACTAATTTATTAGCTGCTCTCACCTGTTAGTAATAGGAATACTATCTGTACTAGTACGTTCTATTGGATCAGATAATGGATCAGGAATATATCCAATTCTTTCAGATTGAATTTCTTCATCACCTATCTTCTGTTCCATTGTTGACATAATACATTCTGGGACATCGTCTTCTGGTAATTGAGCAATATTCTTCAGATTTATATCAACATTTTGATAAAGTACGTTGTGTTTCTTCAGCCAATGTAATGCTTCGATAATTTTCTTCTTCCGTACTGTGAGCACTTTTTTAAGTTGAATGCGTTCAGGAGGATGAGCTCCGACGAAAATTATCTTAAGTGTGTCACACAGATCGTCAAGTGTAAGTGGTAAACTATTAACAATGTTTGGCACATCTTGAAGAAAAGTAATACAATTGCCTTTCAATGCTGTCTGAGCAGTTGTAGTTGAATGGAAAGGCGAATGAAGTTTTATGATACAGCTGTTGTGACGATAGAGTGATATCAATTTTTCTTCTGGAATTGTCAATCCTTGTAATTCAGAAGGTACGTCACCTAACCACATATTGTTGGCAGCTGAGAATTTAGGAATTTGTTTCTTCGACAGAGAACTGTAACATTTTTGGCAAAGTGTGCACATGTTCACCTTGTTTTGTTGAAATA